AAAAACAATTCGATCATGGATTACAAAAAAATCGATCAAGTATTACAAAAAAATCTATCATGGATTACAACAAAAAAAAAAAAAAATTTCCGTACGGACTCGCCGATTCACTGTTCGGACTCGCCGATTCCGTACAGTGAATCGGCGATTCACTGTACCGAATCGTCCGGCTCTCTCTAGAACCGTACGATTTCCGATTTTTTAGGCGATCCGGTCCCCTTTCACGATTTCCCGAGTCGAACCGGGCGAGTCCGGTTCGACTCGGCGTTTTTTAAAACGCTGGATTTTATGAAACAGTTTTCCCTAATAAATTTTTTTCCTGCAGTGCACATATTTTTCCTGCAGTGCACACTAGAGGACTGGGGCGTAATAGTCATTTTCGCGCTATATTTCAGGGTTCTGTAGGGCTTGAGAAGCAGAAAGCTTGGTTCAAGCTCTAATGGCGATTCTAAGAGGCGGCGCCCACTTTTTGAGGCCATTTCTCCAGCCAGTTACTCACCATTGCCTTCCCTCTCAACTCCTTTTCTCAAGAAAGATCGCTTCAAAGGTCTTTGTAGGAGGTGATAAATATCCATTTCTGACGATTTCCATTGAAAATATAGACTGTGAATTCTGTTGAATACGAAGAAACAAAGCTCTAAAACCTTGCAATATAATGTGGGTTTTAATGGTTTTCTATGTTTCATTCCTTTTGATTTCTATGAACTCTATATGGGTGAAGACAACAATGAACTGGACATTTAGTCTGGGTAATCCGTGTTTTATATGAATATTTCTCACGATATTCTATTGCGTAACTGAACTATGTATTCATGAAAATCTGAGTAATCTCAAGAACACTTTGTGGGTTCTCTGTTGGTATTTGATACGATTCCCTATATGATAAACTTTTTAGAGAACCTTTATGATATATTTCCAATTTTTGCTATTGAGTATTGACAAACTCTGTAGAATTTACTACTGTACGCTGGAAAACTAATGCATTTGATTGATGCAAAATATGCATTGTCCAAATTGGTGATTCAATTATTATCAATTACACTGATGGCCTTGTTATGAAGAAGCTCTCTTTGATGGGATATCTGCCCATATGCACTGTTTGTTCCAGTTAGAAGTGTCCAGTTCTTCTCAAGAACAGCGTATTCCCTCCTGCAAATGGGATCAGTGAAGCAATGAAAATATATTTCTGCTCACACTATAAAATGAATCTCTCTTATCTATATACCCAAGTACCATAATTTGTAGTATATAAAATTTATATTGTAACTTGAGGTAGTGAAATTTTTCAGTGCAAGTTCTTGTAATTTTGATAGTTTAATTGAAAATTTTGACAACCACTTGATGGGCCTAAGATAACTGTTCATTTACCCATTGATTCTCTTATTCAATAGATTGGATCATTGTGTATATGTTTGGAACAGTGGGAGTAAGTTTGTGATTTTATCTCTATATGTAGATGATAGTTTATTAGCTGGAAATAATATAGAAATGATAAATAAAACTAGATCTTAGCTTAATTCACATTTTGAAATGAAGGATATGGGAGAAGCGTCATATGTTTTGGGAATAAAGATTACAAGGGATAGAAATTCTAGGCTTCTCCACTTATCTCAAGGAAAATATCTAGAGAATGGAATCAAGAGATTTAAGATGGAAAACTGCAAACCAATAAAAACTCTATTTGTAAGGGCATGAAGCTATCAAATAAAGAATGTCCAATTAATGAACTCATAAGGCTAAAATGGAATATATTTCATATAAACAAGTCATTAGGTTTATTATGTATGCTTTGCTTTGTACAAGACCAGACCTTAGTTTTGCAATAAGATACGTTAGTAGATTTCGAAGTAACCCAGGTATGACTCACTGGCAAGCAATTAAAAGGATACTTAGATATATCTAAGGAATCAAACATTGCAAATTGTGCTATCAGGCCGATAACTTGCAAATTCAAGGATTCTTTGATGCAAATTTCGCAGGAGATCCTAATGATAGAAAAGTCACTTATAGAAATCTTTTCCTCTTTGGAAGAGGTTTTGTTTCGTAGTTTAGTAAGAAACAAGAACGTGTTGCTTGGTGCACAATGGAAGAAGAATACATCTTTTGTAGTATAACTTCTACTTTTGCTGTCTGGATATGCCGCTTCATTAGGGATTTGAAGCTAGAAATAATCGGGCAACTTAGTTCAAATATTTTGTAATAATCAGGTCGCAATTTTGTTTATTAAAAATGAAGCAATTAGCTTCAAGGGAAGACACATAGAAGTTGATTATCACTATATCTAAAACAGAGCGAAAAAGAAAAAAATTGCAGTAAGTTATTTGCCTTCTAATGATATGATAGCAAACCCTTTAACTAAGGGATTGACTGTTGAAATGTTCTTCAAGCATGTGACCATGATGGGGCTTAGAGAAATATAGACTTCTTCCTGAGAGGCACTTTTGAATGCTACAAATGATTAAATCCTGTAGACGGACAAAATCTCATAGTGGGCCTTGTCACATTGGGTAAAACCTTCAATGGACAAAACCTTGTTGCTTAGCAACGTTAAAGCATTCGGCCTTTTGTCCAAGTGGGAGGTGTTGGAATATGACCACAAAGGCCTCATGACTACTATTTACTTCATGGTCCTTCTCTTTCTTTTTATTTTAAATATATTTAATAATACTATTATTTACTTTCTATAATGATCTTATTTCTTTTAAATTCTTTCTTTTCTTGTTTAAGACATTCATCAATAATGTTCTAATGGTCATATTGGACCAAAATGTTTTCTTTAGGATAAGAGAGAGAGAGAGAGAGAGAGAGAGAGAGAATGAAGAAGGAAGGCTTAGCTGTTATAGTGGGTAGAGAGAGAGATCT